CCTATATAGAACTGACATGATTTGATGTTCCAAAGGTATAAGTACAGTAAAGTAGATGAAAAAAATCACTTAATGATTCCAACAGCTCACAATTTGGCAAAAAATCATGTGTTCTGTAGTGTTCAAAAGGAACATATAAAATCTTCATTAAAGTATTTACAGGATTTTGATAATAAACTTCCTAACTTTTAATTAAAGTTGATCAAAATATGTCCTGAGTATTTACCATGTGTGAGGCAGTGTGCCGTTTAGGAAACAAAGGTGAATAACAGACAAATTTTTTACTTTTTTTTGCAATTTAATAACAAATAAACATACAAATATAGCTCCAATATAGAAGTCTGTGAAAGACTATAAACAAAGGACTATGAGAATTCTTATGTAGCAGAAAAGAGGACTATGAGAATTCTTATGTAGCAGAAAACGCTGAATTCACCAATCAGAAAGGATTCATAAAGTTGTGATACAATAAACCTTGAAAGAAGATAAATCTTCATCTAGGGAGATAGCACGTAACATGAGGATATATAAAACAACTGAGACTGGAAATATTCAAAGCTGTTTGATTTCTAGTCACTGATGAGTCTAGAGGAAAGTTTGAAAAAGAAGAAGCAGGCTTACAGGAAAATTTCAGAAGACTGAGCAATGAGTGGATGGTATGAGCTTCGAGCTGGTAGACAGATTACTACTGAGAGACTAAGAGACACAGAGAAGAGACTAAGAGATACAAAGGAGAGATTGAGCTGAGACACTGAGGAGAGCCGGAGAGAGAGTGAGGCAGAGAGACTAAGAGACATCAACAAACACTGAGAAGGACAAAAAAAGACAGAGACAGAAAAAGACAGAAGGGCATATAAATAAAGGAGAAAGTAAAAGGATAATTATTTTGTTGGTGTTGGGTAAAGAGGCTTTGTGAAGATTTGCAGGCAAAGAAAAAAAGCTAACAGAGGGAAGAAGGAGATATCAGATGGAGAGAAGACTAATAAGACTAATGAAGCATCATTTCAGAAAAGGTGGGCAGAAAGGGTTCAAGAAACAGCATGACACGACACTCACAAGGCTGTTTAAGACAAAAGGGAAGAATGCTAAAGAAACACAATGAATAGCATCAAGAGAAATAGTAAAGGAGAAGTTATATGCTGCAATTCAATGGAACATCATCAAGCACACAAAAAAACTTCAATAAATATTTGCTAAAGAAATCATCAAGAGAGTATTGATTGTCGACTTGTCAGTCTTAGCCAAGTTCTGCTGAGCTATTAGCAGTCTAAACACAAAAAAAACATGCTTATCACATTTGCAGCTAGCCTTAGATTTCAACTGTCTGCTTGACCATCTACAATTCTATGACTCTTAGGCATCTCACCACTCAGCTATTCAAACCAAAACGCTGAATTCACCAAACGCTTCCTTCTCCCTCATCCCCCCACATCCAACCATTCTGTAAGTAACAAGGTGATTTTTTCACTGTTTTTAAAAAATTGACATATAAGTGACAACAGCATTATATTCATTTCAGATGTATGACATAATGATGCAGTATTTGTAATATATATTATGAAATGATCTCCATAATCTTTACTTAACATCCATCACTATGCATAGTTACAAAAAAATTTTTTCCTTGTTATGAGATCTTTTAAGATCTACTCTTTTGGGCTTCCCTGGTGGCGCAGTGGTTGAGAGTCCGCCTGCCGATGCAGGGGACACGGGTTCATGCCCCGGTCCAGGAAGATCCCACATGCCACGGAGCTGCTGGGCCCGTGAGCCATGGCCACTGAGCTGTGCGTCCGGAGCCTGTGCTCCGCAACAGGAGAGGCCACAACAGTGAGCGGCCCTCGTAACGCAAAAAAAAAAAGAAAAAAAAGAAAAAAAGATCTACTCTTTTAGCAACTTTCAAATATACAATACAGTATTATTAGTTATAGTGACCATATGTACATTACATTCCCATGACTTATTTATTTTATAACTGGAAACCTATACTTTTTACCCCCTTCACCCATTTTCCCCACTCCCTACACCTGCCTCTGGCAACCACCTATCTGTTCTCTGTATCTACGAGTTCAGTTTTTTTTAGATTCCACGTATAAGTGAGATCATACAGTATTTGTCTTTCTGTGTCTGACTCAGTTCACTTAGCATAATGCCCTCAAGGTCTATCCATGTTGTCAAAAACAGGAAGGTTCCCTTCTTTTTTATGGCTGAATTATATGTATTTTTTTCTTTATCCATTCATTCATCAATGGGCACTTAGGTTGCATCCATGTCTTGGCTATTATAAATAATGCTGCAGTGAACACTGGAGTGCATAGATCTTTTCAAGTTAGTGTTTTTATTTCTTCAGACTCAGTAGTGGAGCTGCTGGATCATATGGCAATTCTATTTTCAATTTTTTGAGGATTCTCCATACTGTACTCCATTGTGGCTACATCAATTACATTCCCACAGATAGTGCCCAAGGGTTCTCTTTTCTCCACACCCTTACCAACATTCGTCATTTCTTGTCTTTTTGGTAATAGCCATCCTAACAACTGTAAGGTGATACACAATTGCAGTTCTGATTTGCATTTCCCTGATGATTAGTGATGCTGAGCACCTCTTCATGTACCTGTTGGCCAACTGTATGTCTTCTTTGGAAACTGTCCATTCAGATCTTCTGCCCACTTTTCAATTAGATTGTTTGTTTTTTTGCTATTGAGTTGTATGAGTTCTTCATATATTTCAGATATCAACCCCTTACCCAATACCTGATTTACAAATATTTTCTCAACTTGGTAGGTTGCCTTTTCATTTTGTTGATGGTTTCCCTTGCTGTGCAGAACTATTTTAGTTTGATGTAGTCTCACCTGTTAATTTTTTATTTTGTTGCCTTTGCTTCTGGTCTCACATCCAAGAAAATCATTGCAAAGACCAGTGTCAAGTAGTTTACTGCCTATGTTTTAGCCTAGGAGCTTTATGGTTTCAAGTCTTATGTTCTAGTCTTTAATCCATTTTGAGCTAGTTTTTGTGTATGGTGTTAAAAAGCGGTCTAGTTTCATTCTTTTGCATGTGGCTGTCCAGTTTTTCCAACACCATTTATTGAAGAGACTGTCCTATCCCATTGCATATTCCTTGGCTCCTTTGTTGTAAATTAACTGACCACGTCTGTGTGAGTTTATTTCTGGACTCTCTACCCAAGTGATTTTTTGAAACATAAACCAGATCCCTTCAATGGCTTCCCACTACATTTAGAATATAATCTACACTTCTAACCCAGAGACCTATGAGGCCCTGAATATTCTGGCTCCTGTTCCATCTCTCTCCAATTTCATCTCTAGTTACTTCACATACTACTTTACTATCATTCCAGCCAAACTGGCCTTCTTTTAGATCCTGCAATTCACTAAGCTCCTAAGTCACCCTGTAGACTGCATTTGCTGGTCCTGCTTAAAGGAATACCCATCCCCTACACCATGCCTTCAATTTCTTGAGATCTCAGGTTGAATGTCACTACCTCAGTGAGACCTTCCTAATACCCCTACAACCAAACTGATAAAAAATGGGTTCCTGGGCTTCCCTTGTGGCGCAGTGGTTGAGAGTCCACCTGCCGATGCAGGGGACACGGGTTCATGCCCCGATCCGGGAAGATCCCACATGCTGCGAAGCAGTTAGGCCTGTGAGCCATGGCCCCTGAGCCTGTGCGTCCGGAGCCTGTGCTCCGCAACGGGAGAGGCCACAACAGTGAGAGGCCCGCGTACCGCAAAACAGAACAAAACAAAACAAATTAAAAAAATGGGTTCCTTCCTGTGGAATCTCATAAGAATTCTGTGTGTTTCTTTCACAGTACCCAATCACAATTTGGAAATATTTATTTATTTGTTTGTTTGTTCAGTGTTCACCTCCCTAAGAATGTCTAATTGCAGGCACCAAGAGGGTAGAGACTGCTAAATCTCCAAGAGCCTAGTGCTCTGTAGATACTTAGTCATTTGCACAACCAAACAATACTTTAAGAAAAGTTTGCAATGTTTTTTTCTTGTCAGATTGAAAAAAGTGTCCAGAGAATGGCTAAGAAATCTAAACAAACCACAATCTCCAGAAAATTAAGAAATGTGTTACTAATCAGAAGAACATCATAAAACCTGACAATCAAAATAACTCAAAAATTAGGCAAGTACTTATTATATGCCACCTAAGTAGATGATGAGGATGCTATTATAAGACAACAGACCACGTGCAATGTATCAAATTTTTCTAAGAACACAAAATCTCAAGTACAAACTCCCAAGTCTCGAAAAATAAATAGTTTGCCTATTAAAAAATAACTTTTTGTCTATTAAGAGTCAATTCTAGTTTACTGAAATGTTAGTGAAAATTGTCAGTTTAGGGAAGGAGAGAAAACACAATTCCAGGCTTCCATTTCCAGATTATAGATCCAGGCGATGGACAGTTTTTACATCTGAAAGTTTAATAGAAGTAGCAGCAGCAAAACAACAGCAATCACTTGGGTTTTCTTGGATGACCAAGTGAAAGGCCATTTGTTACTGCTAAACTAGTCATAAAATATTTCAAAATATGATGTTGAAAGTCAACAGGATAGATGTTCTTGCTACTGCTGTATAGTATGGGAAAATATGATGAACTAAGGGCTACAGATTTAACTTGCTTTGTACCTTCAGACAAATAATTTCACCTCTCCAGGTCACACTTTCCACAGTCATAAGGTGAGAGGTTTGTACCAGATCCACTTTAACAATCCCTGTAGCTCTAGCCATATCTCATAATACAAGTATATAAGTAAATACATGTCAAACTAAAATTTTCTCTGGTACTAGACCAATGCAAATAAGGCAAATGTTTTTTCCTTTAAAAATTCTCAAAACCAGTGTTCTAAATTTTAATAACATGGTAAAAATGTTTTGTACTGACAAATAAAAGTACCATAACTGAAATCTTACTCATTCCATCTTGAATTAGAATATCTGACATTAAATTTGAACCAAATCAATAATGATGCTCACCGATACTGATATGTCCTCATTTTTTCTCTTAACACTGGAGTCAAACAAGACATTTCTCCCTCGTCTTTCACAGTCTTGATATACAATTAGTCGAATTTGGCTTGGATCAAACTCTGGCAAAGGCCAACTTTAAAGAAAAATAAAGATTCATTAGAATTACTTTAATAAATATTCCACATAAACTCCTAGAAATAAAATCTATATAATAAAACCCAAAGTTGTACTACTGCTCAAGATAACACAGAAGAACTTTATATAAAATACCACCATTTAGTTTCACCATTTAGTTTAGGACTGAAAATTTACACAGCTATGACATTTTAGATTAAAAAGAAAGAATAAAATCTGTGGCAAGTATCACTCAGTGTATATAAAATATAGTCATCCCACATGAATCTAAAAATAGCTAACAATAAAAATATGTCAGTACATTTAATATAATGAAAATACATATTAATTTCCTGGCATGGGCTCAGATGGCATAAGGCTAACCCAGATTTTTAAATACTTTTGTTACTTTAATATCAAAATGAAAAAACAGAAACAGCTTTCAGTTTAAATAACAGTAGCTAATTCCTTATAAAACAAGTAAAAAAGTGATGAACAACAAAATGGGGTAGAAATCCTCATATATAGTTGGTGTGAGTGAAAATGGCATAATCTCTTTAGAGAATAGTTTTTTAAATATGTACACTAATTAGACAAATCTAGTAAAAATGAAGTTGACCCAGCAATTCCATTCCAGAAAAGTATGCCATTATACAAGAATGTTCATAGCAGCACTGTTCATAATAGCTGAAAACTGGACACTATTCATATACTTACCAACCAAATGGGTAAATATTCATACTATGAAACACCACACAACAAACATAATGAATGAACTTCAGCTACAGGCAAAAACATAAATGGACTGTAAACAAAAGAAATTAGACAATGACACACAATGACACCCATAAACACAGTTACTGTATTTTGCCATTTATAGGAAGATTTAAATCAGGTAAAGTTTTGTCAAGGGATGAATATTTAGTTTTTAAAACTATAAGCAAAACAAAGGAAATGATGGCTTCAAAAGTTTGGAGAGTGGCTATATCTGGGAGTTAGGTGAGGGTGGTGGGGGTTATACCAGGAGGACTGGGGCAGTGATGATGTTCTATTTTTTGACTTGGTAATGTTTACACAGATACAGTACCCAAAGGAAAAAAAAAGAAAGTCCACTGCATTTGTTTTGTGTACATTATATTTCACAATTAAAAAGACTAATGGAGTAAGTGAGATGAGGAGGAGAGGGAGAGAGAGAAAACAATGAATTGTATGATGGAGATAAGAATCTGGTGAACTGAAGGCACTACAACATGTAGGACAGTTGCCAAGAAAGAAGAGAACTGTCGTTCCAGGAGCTGTCTGTTGTTAGGCTGAATGGTCAATTCCTCACAATTCATCAGTCACAGCTTTTGATTGCGTTCCTTCATTTCCTTAAGAGAACCTTAACCCTAACCCTATTGATGCATGTTTAAAAATCCATAACTGGCAACATAACACATCTTCATCCCAAATCTTGACAGCAAATACAATTTTAGTTTTCCTGTATTTAATCCTTAGCAAATGTCTATGAATTGATGAAAGACTTATCCTAGACATTCAAGCTAAACCAGAGATTCATCCTTAGACCACAATGATTTGCATCCCCCTGAACAGCTTTTACTAAACTGTGCTTTGATGTTATGCAAAGGAAACTATAAAAGGACAGACTGTTTTGGAATTAAAATCAGGAAGCTGGCCTCAAAGAAACCAAGAAAGAGGAGCACTTTAGAGAGGAAGAAGAAATACCACAGTTGTTACTAAAAAGCATCCACTAGCTTTAGAAACAAAGAAGTCATTGGTGACCATGGCAAGGACAGTTCTAAGGACAGAGTCCTGGGGTCAAACTGCAGAAAATTGAGGACTAAATGAGAGTAAACAGTGAGTTTAAGACAAATGTCAAGGAAAGAGAAAAAGAAAAGGAATCATGAAGTAGAGTGACAGCTATTTTGTTATTAAAAAGGACACATCTGAACATGTTTACATATTGATGACAAAGAATGTGAAGTGGAAGGGAGATGGTGATTGACAAAGTAAGGCATCTAAGGAAGCGGATGAGGACAGGATACAGAGTACAGATGAAAGGGTTAACCTCAGAAGAAATGATAACCCCTTTGCTAGGATAAAAAGGAAGCAAACATGGACATGGATACAGAAAGATTTATAGATATGAACGTAAGGATGAGGAGACTCATGTCTAAGAGTCCTATATTCTTTGTAAAGTACGTGAAGGAAAATAAAGGATAGGTTGTAAAATGTGGGGACAGTAGAGAGTAAAAAGAGAGCAGTCTTTGTGGCAAAAGAAAATATGTTGACTGGGAAACGTAAGATTTCTTGGAAATTCTTCCCTTTCCCCACTGGTAACCACTAGTTTGTTCTCTGTATCTGTGAGTCTGTTTCTTTTTGTTATATTCACTAGTATGTTTTATTTACACATATAAGTGATATCATACAATATTTGTCCTTCTCTGTCTGACTTACTTCATAAGCATGTGGGGTGATGAAATGTTCTGGAATTAGATAGCAGTTATGGCTGCATAACTCTGTGACTATACTAAAAAACCACTGAACTGTATACTATACACAGGTGAATTGTACAGTATGTGAAATTTATCTCAACAATTAATAAAAAAGTTAGAATGCTTTGCTCCTGAACTTATCTAAGCATTTGTAAAGTATTCTCTGTTAACTCAAAACAAGATTATATGTAAAAGCTTAAATTATAAAGCTTCTAGAAAGAAACACAGAGTATCTATACAATCATAGAGTACAAAGAGTTCTTTAAAAAGACACAAAAGTTATTAAGCATAAAAGAAAAATTGATAAATTGGACTTCATTAAAATTTAAAACTTGCACATCAAAAGGCAAAATTTTTTTAAAAGGCAAGCCATAAACTGGAAGAAAATATTTGCGATATATATAAATGACGAAGGACTTGTAAACAGCCTACACAAAGAACTCCTACAAAGCAATAAGACAAACCATTCACCCAATTTTAAAATGGGTGAAAGGCTTGGGCATTTCACATAAAGAGATATATGAATGGTGAAGGAACAAAGCACATGGAGAAGATGCTAACAGTATTAATCATCAGATAAATGCAAATTAAAACCCTTCCACAAAAGACTAATAACATTAGTTGCTGGTAAGAATATGAAGCATGTGGAATCTTATACATTGTTGGTAGGAGTATAAAAGGGTACAACCATTTTAGAAAATTATTTGGCAGCTATGACCCAGCAATTCTTTTCATAGATACATATCCAATAGAAATGAAAATATATGTTCAAAGACTTCCATAAAAGTGTTTCGTGCAGGGCTTCCCTGGTGGCGCAGTGGTTGAGAGTCCGCCTGCCGATGCAGGGGACATGGGTTCGTGTCCCGGTCTGGGAGGATCCCACATGCCGCAGAGCGGCTGGGCCCGTGGGCCATGGCTGCTGAGCCTGCGCGTCTGGAGCCTGTGCACCACAACAGTGAGAGGCCCGCGTACCGCAAAAAAAAAAAATGTTTCTTGCAGCTTTATTCCTAATAGCAAAAAACTGGGAACACCCAAATGACCATCAATGGGAGAATGGATAAACAAGCTATGATATATTCTACATTGAAATACTATGCAGAAATAACAAGGAATGAACTACTAGTCATAACATAGGTGAATTCTGAAAGAATGTTGAAAAAAATCCCGACACAAAAGCATACATATTGGTTATTCCATTTATATGTAGTTCTAGACCAGGTAAAACTAATCTATGGTGATAGAAACCAAAGCAGTGCTTGGGCAGGGGCAGGGTGTGAAGGCAAAGGACTAGGAAAGTATATGAAGGAACTTTCTGGAGTGACTGAAATGTTCTATATATCTACTAGGGTTGTAGTTAAACAAATGTATACATTTTTCAAAATTAATCAAATTATACACTTAAAAATATGTGCTTTTGGGACTTCCCTGGTGGCGCAGTGGTTAAGAATCTGCCTGCCAATGCAAGGCACATGGGTTCAAGCCCTGGCCCGGGAAGATCCCACATGCTGCAGAGCAACTAAGCCTGTGCACCACAACTACTGAGCCTGTGCTCTAGAGCCCGCAAGCCACAACAACTGAGCCCATGTGCCACAACTACTGAAGCCTGCGCACCTAGAGCCTGTGCTCTGCAACAAGAGAAGCCACCACAATGAGAAACCTGCGCACCACAACAAAGAGTAGTCCCCACTTGCCACAACTAGAGAAAGCCTGCGCACAGCACCAAAGACCCAACACAGCCAAAAATGAATGAATGAATGAATGAATTTTTTTAAAGTGTGCTTTTTAAGTAAATTGTACCTAAATTTTTTAAAAGGAGAGGATTGTGGGAGAAAACACTATATATATGGTATATATATAGTGTATTTACATTATTTACATTATAGACATCAAAACCATGGATTCACATTACAGAGATCTCACTAAAACAGAGATATTGAACATTTACCATGCTCAAAGCACAATGCCAGGCACTGGGAATATTTCTGTGCATTCATTCACTGACTTAAAAGCATTCATTAAGTATGAAAAGAAAAACATGACTGTGAAAACGTTCACAGTCTAATAGGAAGACATATAAATAATTTTATCACTGTGATACAGTCTACGACTGAGCAAACTTATAATGTAGACAAGAGGTCTGCATAGGGAGGTCAGGTATGGACTCACTGAAGAACAATAATAAATGATACACAATGAATAATAAATAATAGCTAACAGTTATACATTATTGTATACCAGCTACTGTTCTAAGGGCATTACGTATGTTAATTCATTTACCCTTCACACCACTGATTCATCGTCACAACTTTACTATTTTATGCGCGAGAAAACTAAGGCATAGAGAGATTAGGTAACCTGCCCAAAATAACACAGCCAAATACATGGTAAACGGCAAAGCTGGGTTTAGATTCCAGGCAGTGTGTCTTTGGAGTCCACAACCATAACCATTACTCTGTACTATCGATTAAGTACTTAAAGCCTCTCAGCTTCAAGTTGGGAAGAAGGGTATTCTCTTTCCTGCAAG